TCCTGCTTCCTTAAAATCTCCTCCTTTTCCCCATGTGACAGGTCCAAATTGCTTCGCTGGAACGACGATCATCCCAGCTGGCATTGAAGTGAAGGTGGACGACTGCACCATCTGTCGGTGCCACAGCGGGGACTGGTGGAAGCCTGCACAGTGCTTGCGCCGGGAGTGTCTCAACGGTCAGGCGTCATCATAGAACCCCTCTGGAGCTGAAGGGAGGGACACGATGCGATGTGCGGCACGGCTGTCGGCGCAGGGGACGGCCCACCTTATGACAGCGAGGGACTGATTGGCAGGAGCACAATTCCTTGGGCAAACTGAGATGGCTGGACATGCTGAGATACATGGGACATACTGTACACTCAGACATACACACACCCATAAAAGTCCTTGGCAGAATCATAACAAGTGTCTTTCACTGAGGACACATTTTTCTCCTGTGATGAGTTCATACTAGGGTGAACCTCATGAAAACTTTTCACTCCAAAATCAAGAGAATAAAATTAGAAATTATACTTTGCATAAATTCATTGTAATTTTTTGCACTTTGACCTTTTTTCATTAAAAATTCGTCAAAATGTGCATTTTAAATTTGCCTCAAAATTGTTTTATTTATTTATTTATTTTTGTAACTCCGCATTATTCACAGGCTATCTTATTAGATTCTCACTCATGAAATGCAATACCTTTACAGTATTAAATTTATATAGGAATATTACATTATCAAATTATTAAAATATCAAAATAATATAAATCATTAAAATAAACAAATTATATATTGAAAAAAGGAATTATTTAAAAAAAAATGAATCATCAAAAAAGTACAACAAATACTACCATAATATATAAATATTTTACAACACAAAAATATTTTACAAAAAAGTTTGTTTTTTACTGCAAAATAAAGACAGTAAAATTAGAAATGATAATTTGCATAAAATAAAGTCTGTTTTCAGGATCATTATAATTTTTTGCATTTTGCCCAAATTCGCATTTAACATTTCTCTCAGTTTTTTTCTCATTATATTCTTACTAATAAAATACTATATTTTTACTGTAGTAAATTAATATAAGAATATTAAATGATCAAATTATTAAAATATCAAAATAATATATTCATTTATTAAAATAAACAAATTACATATTTGTAAAAAAAAAAAATTTAAAAACATTTAAATCACTATAACGTACAACAAATACTATCAGAATAGACAAATACTTTTTAAACTTTACATTAATGAGTGTTACATTAATCATACATCAATGATAATGAAGTATTTTGCATTTTTGTAATGATAATTTAAGGGTGAATATGCTTAAGTGTCAAAATATCTTCAGTTTCATTGGGCAAAATACAATTTCTTCTTCTTTTTCAGTTGATTTTGACATCTAGACATGTTCTTGACAGGTTTCATGAGATTCACCACTAGTTTTATTAGTAGCTTATGCTGCTTAAACACAGTGTTTGTATATTTCACATAATCATGAGTGCTCAATGAGAACATTTAAACCTAAAATACCACCTCAATCCTCTGAAGATAAAGTTGATCATTTTAGTCTGCGCTTACAGTGAGATATTTTAGCATAGCACACATTACATTACATAAACTAAACCACACCTCCACTAGTCCTGTACAAGCCTCTGTGTTCCCACATTTGTTGAGTATGAGTTATATATATTTAGTGGTAGTATTACTAGGGGGTATGAACTTGTTCATTAAGAAACATGATTAATGACAAGTTCGAATTTATTGTTTAATTAGTGGAACAAGAGGGAATAAGGTAGATCTACACCACATAATAAAAACACAGCTGAGAAATTAAGATTATTCAGTGATTGTTCTGGGAAATGATTTTATTGCATCACTCATATAAGAAAACTCCTATAAAGATGAATCCAGTATTTTAGGTGGCAAGCACTTTCCATGAATAGGGTACACTACAACAACTTTTAAAAAATTTATATTTAATAAGACGCTTTCATTCAGCAATTTCATTTTCAAATGAACACTGTTCTTTTAAATTTTCTACTCACAGAATCCTGAAAAAACTCTTTCCACAAAAATATTAAGCAGCATAACTGTTTTAATATTGATAATAATACATAGTTCCTGAGCACCAAATCAGCATATTATAATGATTTCTAAAGGACATGTGACACTGAAGACTGGAGTAGTGGTTGCTGAAAATTCAGCGTTGCCATCACAAGAATAAATACAATTTTAAAATATATATATATAAAAAAACTGTAATAATATTTTGCCAAAAACAATATTGCCGTTTTTGATCAATTAAATGCAGCCTTGGTCAGCATGAGATACTTCTTTCAAAAACAAAATATAAAAATTACCGACTACAAAATCAACTTAAACTGGTGATTTGCTTTGTAATTATTTTTGAAATTTACTAGTAATTTTGGAGTGAAAATTGTCTCAAAGAAATGTCAAGTAACACATTAAATTAAACATGAAATTTACAAGTTGAAAGACTGAAACAATTTTCTTGTAAAATGTACTTCAATAATCGCTGCTATATTTACAACTTCAAAAGATATTTTATAATGTATTTAGACAGATCCCAAATGGCAAAAATGCTCAATTTCATAGAAAAATAAATAAATAAACAAACAAACAAACCACCCATCAATATTCAATTTGACCTCCTTTTATAGTATTGTTCAATATAGGCTATATACTGTACCCTAGTCGTGGAAAGTGTCACTGAACGTTAAACCAGTGCATCCTATAAATCGCTACCGTACTGCAGAGTTTTCTGTTTGTAATACCCTTGTTTTTCTCTCCCAAGCCCAAACAAACACGCTTTCCTAAAGTCTAGCAGCTTGAACTTGTTATCTAAGCAATTAGCTAGCCCACAGCAGCCTACTTTAATTTTCCTTAATCAGGCAATATGCAGTGATAAATTATCCGCCTCTGCCCTCTGTGGTACTGCCCGGCAGACACACAGCCCAGCATGCAGAGGGCTAAAACAAAGGAAGAAATCTGCATACAGTCTGGCGCTTCAAAGCGACGTTCTAAACCACTTCTTTTGATCTTCAGCGCATCCGTAACCTCGGCTCACGGCAATTTCGCTCGCAGCTTAGAAGGAAGATGTTGATCAACTGCACTTTGAGAAGCACTTAAACCAATAAGAACCTCTAAACAGACTCTGAGCCACTTTTAGCCCACATTTGCTGAAGATTTTCCAGTATCGCAACAATATCTGTGCAGAGACCCATTACAGCACAACGTTAGCAATGACCATCGTTCAGGTTTAACTAATGCAGAGCTTATAGATCCTCTTTAAAACAGGCACCCACTTGTCTGATTTCCTTTTTTTTTGGTTCTTCAATGATGAATACCAGTCATTAATTCAATGGGAACTTCACCAAGCACCTGAGATTTATCATAGGTATTTTTTCCCATTCAACAGCATTCATTCCCTTTAACCTTTTGGACTCTGTTTCTAAGCACTGATGGATGAGCTACTTAATAACAGATCTGCAGATTTGGTAATGAGACGACAATGAATGCAACAGCGTGACCTGCAAAGAAGGTGCTAGAATGTATATATCTACATATACACATTCGCTCACTGCCTTTACTTCATCTTCAGGGTCTCTTGTCTCTCTATAGCTCAATGTAGAAGCTAAGGCTTGTCCAATAAGCCAACAAATCATTAGGTCTCGATTGAAATAATGAACTGTAAAAGTCCATAAATGACATAAAGCAGAAGACAAACGATTATTAAACGCTCCCTAGAGTCTTATTCACACTGGACATTTATTACAGCTCTGATCATATAAAAAACAGATGTTGTGTAGCATCGTCTAACACAGAGACAGGGCGATACTGAAGGAAGAGAGCATGCGGATGAGTACACAAGCTGTCACGAGCGAGACTCTGAAGCACTAAGCAGCAAACATGACCCACAGCTACAATCAAAGCTCAGGCTTATGCGAGCGGGCGATCTTTTTGTTTCCATGGCTTCTGTTTCTCTTTTTGTCCTAAGCCTGCCCATCCCAATGGGTGCAGGGCACTTGGCTTTCTAAAATCACAAGCTAGAGGAGGATTTCTGAGCTAATCTGTCCTCTGCTATAGTTCTAAAATGATACATCTACTGTGGCACCGGAACATGAGCTTCAAAGCCCTGCGAGAAATGCATTCATTTAATTACTATACAATCTCAGTTTAATGATTTATGGCTGTAGAAACTAAACAAAACAACAACAAAATCACATTAGTGGGTAAATCTCACAAAAAATATGTACAATCACATTTCAACCTAAAAATTGCACAATGGAAATGAAGTTTTAATATATTTACAGTAGGAAATTTACATAATATCTTCATGGAACATGATCTTTACTTAATATCCTAATGATTTTTGGCATAAATAAAAATAGATAATTTTGACCCATACAATGTACTTGGCTATTGCTACAAATATACCCCAGCGACTTAAGACTGGTTCTGTGGTCCAGGGTCACATATACATATATATATATATATATATAAGAATGTGATCTAATATATGTATGACACATAGTAAATATACTTTTTATATATAATCATTATGAATAAATACTTAAAATATTTCCTTTTTACATTATGGAAAGAAATTTGCTTAACTGACCAAATAAAATTGTATAAAATGACAAAAACAATATAACATCTAAATGGTGCTAAAAATAGGTTTACTGTTCTTTATGCAAAATCTTTCTCTTGATTTTGGGGTGAAATATGACCTGGACATGCTCTTTTCACAATATTTTGTGAGATTCGCCCTAAAGTATTCAAAGTCTCAGCCTGTATTGAAAACAAATGTGTCCTGGAATTGTTGTATGGGATAATACCGTGTTTATATATTAACCCTAAATGTTCATTAAACTAGACAGCTGTTTATTGTTTTGGCAGCATATTGCACATCATTGGACATCATGAGAGATATTAGTGAAACTGTCATTTATTGATTATTTATTGACTGAAATTCAGCTGTGGCACTTAAAATTCCCATCTGTCCTCATGTATGATTCCTCATGTATGATGTATGATTTCTTTTGACAATCACATGGAATTCACAATGGCCAGGCCTGATGACGTGGAATACATCTCCTTTGTACTTTTTCACAGTGTCCTGATTCATAACAAGCTACAGTATGTCCACTGAAGGAAGGACCGGCTTCATCCATGAAGAACTTGTGTTTTGCATCATGCTTCTAAAAAGACCTGATTCTTTGTGCACATGGCCTTCAATGTCTGTCAATGTCTTCGCCATTCACTGTCAGTTTTGTAAAAGTGAACCATTGCTCTTTTTTTGAGACACTGACTAACTGTAGCTGGAAGCTGTGAAGATTGTTCTTTTTCTAAACAAAACTGTTATATGAACTTGTGCCTGAAAACAAACAAACTGCATCTATAATGGAAGAGGGGAAAAAAATACTGTAAAACAATCAGCTTTTCTTACTGACGGGCACTGAGGGTCCTTACACTTAAAGAGACAGTTCACCCAAAAAAGACAATTCTGGCATAATATACTCAGCCTCATGTTGTTGCACAGCCAAATGACTTGTTTCTATAGAACATAAATGGAGAAATGTTGAAGAATTGTACTCATTCTCAAATTGTGAATTTCTATGCAATTACAGTGAATGAGGAACTGGAGTTGTCAAGCTTCAAAAGGAACCCAAAATACGATAAAACCGAGTCATGATTCATGCACTAAATTCCAAGTCTTTTGAAGCCAGAAAATAACTAGTGAGAAACAGACCAAAATATATACAAGAGGTTTTATGAGAGAAGTAAATGTCCAATTAATGAACAAATTATTATTTTATGCTGGATCATTTAACTGATTTTTAATTAGTTGGTCACGTTAACGAAATCTTTCTGAATGATTCATTCACAAATACGACGGATATTTAGTTCAACTCACTCGATTCAGTTGCAGCAGGAAATCTCACTGGAAGAAAAGATAAGTGAATAAAAACAGAAGAAACTGTCATACAGGTTTGAAACAACATTAGGGTGAGTAAATGATGACAGAATTTCCATTTTTCTGTGAACTATTAATTTAAAACAAATTTTACTCACTGATATGTATCATTTAACAGTGCTATTATTTAAAATGAGAATTATTAATATTATTATAATACGTGCGTTTCATTTTTATGGAACAATACAAAGCCCAGGTGCCCTTCCTAAATATATAAACATGTAAATATCTCAAAGCGTTTTATGTGTATTCTGAATTCAGAGTTAGAAAGAGGATTAAAAATGTGTATTATTTATGAAGACAAAACTATTTTGTTAAATAGACTGGGAAAAAAAGTGTTATTCAGTAAAAAAGAAAGCCGGTGTGTGTATTATTTTTATTTATTTATTTATTTATTTTAAACATTCCTATCTTTTGTAAGCAAATCCAACCAGCTCATCTCCAGCCAGATGCACAGGCATCTGATACTGCAGACATGAGCAGTTCCTACATGCTGACAGAGCAGTATTTTATAACCAGCCATCCATTTACTGTGTGGAAACATCACATTCCCTCTGTCACATGGAGAGCCGGGCACATGCTCACTTTATTCTGCGATTGCTAAGAAAACAGTCACCACACTGAGGTCAGAGAGCAGGAAAGAGAAGAACTCAGACCATTACTGTAACTCCAGCACAGGTTTACTCATCCATCATTGTCTAGGAGAGCATTAAAGTGCTGATACAACAGGAGGAAATGGCACAAAGAAATCCTAGAGCCCCCTAAAAGCGATTGAAGAAGTGAGACTTTCATCATAAGTAGCAGAAACAGTAGGCAGAACTGAATTGCTTCCAGTCCTACAGACTGACACACTCCAACATCCAAGGAAAGCACTGTACAGATGTTTTGAGTTACAATTATTAACACCAGACATCTGTAATTGCTTAAAAAAAAACTTGTGTGCCCACAAAATCATATATAATTAAGGGAAGAAATTAATTAAGGTGAGGATAGTACCTGATGCTACTATACAGAGGATGGGGCTCTCTTTATTGATTTAATTTTCTTTTTACATCAGATAGGATATCAGCAGGAAGCATTTGAACCGCCAGCTGGCAAGAAGCCCAAATAATGTAAGAGGGGAAAAACAGATGAAGTGCACTAGGTAGCAAATAAGAAATTTAGCGTAGTTACAAATTTCAATGAGTCCAAAAAAAAAGTGCTGTGACTAGAAATGTTAATATTAACATTCTTAAATGCTAATGCACCTAATATTAAAATTCCACAATACTAGTTTTGTTTAAATACATTTTTTTTTTTTTAATTCTACAAGTAAATTTAGGAAAAAATTTATATTTATTTTTCTTTCTTTTTTGTAATGGACATTATTTTTGAGATTTGAGACTAAAAATTACATTTAACAGTTAAATTATTAGTGTTTTTTTAAATATTACATTTAAGGCAGGGTGAGGGCAAAGGTAATCTAATCTAAAAAGCTAAAATATACTCTATTTATAATATTTTTTTAAAAATGGATTTAAAAAATTGTCTATGTGATTTGGTGTTTATATATCCCTAGCATCATTTGTCAGAGGATTGCTAAGCTGGTAAACAGTTGGTAATTTTTACCAAGATGTGCAAGATAAACAGACAAGTTTGAATCTTCCTTAGGGAAAACCCACCAATTCACTATCTCAACAAATTAGAATACTTCATAAGACCAATAAAAAAAACATTTTTAGTGAATTGTTGGCCTTCTGGAAAGTATGTTCATTTACTGTACATGTACTCAATACTTGGTAGGGGCTCCTTTTGCTTTAATTACTACCTCAATTCGGCGTGGCATGGAGGTGATCAGTTTGTGGCACTGCTGAGGTGGTATAGAAGCCCAGGTTTCTTTGACAGTGGCCTTCAGCTCATCTGCATTTTTTGGTCTCTTGTTTCTCATTTTCCTCATTCTCATTTTTTAGATTCTCTATGGGGTTCAGGTCTGGTGAGTTTGCTGGCCAGTTTGTCTTCTGGACAACTGTCAGATCAGCAGTCTTCCCCATGATTGTGTAGCCTAGTGAACCAAACTGAGAGACCATTTTGAAGGCTCAGGAAACCTTTGCAGGTGTTTTGAGTTGATTAGCTGATTGGCATGTCACCATATTCTAATTTGTTGAGATAGTGAATTGGTGGGTTTTTGTTAAATGTGAGCCAAAATCATCACAATTAAAAGAACCAAAGACTTAAACTACTTCAGTCTGTGTGCATTGAATTTATTTAATACACGAGTTTCACAATTTGAGTTGAATTACTGAAATAACTGAACTTTTCCACGACATTCTAATTTATTGAGATGCACCTGTAATGAGAGTCATTGCCCTCAGGATTGTATCTGTCTGCACACATCTGTTCTGCAAAAGTGCATTTGAAAGCTCTTAACTCTTAGAAGAGAGATGATAAAGTTTGCAAAGTCAGGTGTTAAGAGTTGGGTGCATTTTTCCCTCTACCCACAGGACCCTCAATACCCTCCAATTAATCACCCCACCAAACCCTGTCCACACCATTAATTGCCTCCCTCCACGTCCCTGCAGGACAAGGGCGAAGCAATTTAATGCGGCTCACAGCAATCAATAGCAATTAGGAGCATCCCTGACTAATCCCATTGAAAGCCGCATCTTGGGAGATAGCCAAAGACGACCAGAAATCTTTCATTTTTTTAACCCTTGCAGAAACAACGAGCAAAGAAAACAAAAAAACTGCTTGTTTGAAAGGGCCACCGTTTGAGAATTAATTGCTCTTATTTTCTTCATTCATCTCTTTGGGTATTTTGTTTTCCATCTAATCTAAATGCCACCTTATCATCTGTAGCTAGAATCCCATTATCCTGTCCTGGACTTTATGAATACCATTTGGTTTTTTAAAACAAAAGCGGTCTAAGCAATTAGCATTGCATTTAAAAGTCTGATGAACATGTAAGTTTTGTCTGGGGGAAAATGAAACTAATTCCCACAAGATCTCTGAATGGTTTGCACACAAGTTGCGAGTCTGCTCAAAATAGGTCATGTATCCTGACAATGGGAAATGTTTTCATCATTTTCTAGCTTTCAGATGGCATAATTTGGCCCGGAAAGAAAGAACAAGCACAATAGACTCTAAAAAGCTTTCTCCTGAGACTTGCCACGTGACTTGAATCTTCAGGGGACAGTCAGACCCTTTATTTTGCCTCACATAAAGCTAGATGAAAACAGCAATTATGATGGCTCTATCTTCCGATAAGTATAAAAACTAATTTCTCTTATGCAGAAAAAGGTTTTATTTGATGTCATGAAGCAGAAACATAATAACACAACAAGTATATGGCCTAGTGCGCCGGCACTGGCAGGAGTTGAAAGGCAGCTATGCAGTCCACAAACCACGTGGATGGAGCCGACCAGACTTTACCTACCCGGACCTTCTGGGGTTTGTAGGAGCTCTGAGGATCATATAAGATATACTGGGTGCAGAGAACCTGGTCTGAACCAGGCTGGGCATGGTAGGCCGCTGCGCTCAGGGTTTGCGTGACGTCACTGTCGGGTTTGGGCTGGCGATTCAGAAGCTGTCCACCTCCTTCTTTCACTAACTGAATGAGCTCGTGTTTTGGTGGCTTACAGAAGGAGCCCAGCATGTAGAAGCAGCAGCCATCAAAGAGGGGAGGGAGCTAAAGATGTATGAGAAAACGAGAGCGATTCAGTACACAAAGCATCAAAGTACCTGAATGTATCAGTTATGGCATCCTATAATGGCCTGGACAAGTGACTGGAAATGATTGGGAAAAGAGGGAGAAAGCTGACTGGGTCACAATACAGGCCAGATTTTAACCCACAAGAGCACCAAAGCTCAATGTATCTGCAGTGTGCTAACTGCTAAGTCACAGTTAAGACAGTTAACCTTTTTTGATCAAAACATTTCCATCGCTGTTCCAGTTCTTCATGATTACTTAATCAGGATTTTTAAAACATTTATAGAGAAATTTCTAGCTGATGAAATGCTGAGCTACTGGTCACAAAAATATACATTTCTGTAATATTTGACTTATTTCTAGGACATTTCCAGGGAATTCCATTGAAATTATTATTCCAGGTTTTCCATGACTGCAGAAACCCTTTAAATAGAGCCTTTCACAAATAAAAAGTAACTAACAACCTGCCACAAAGAGATAAGTGTTAAAAAAATGAGGTAAGATATGGTTCAGTGAAAGTCTGAGCCACTTCTGTGCCATCTACGAAAGCAGCTGCAGGACATTTGGGGTTAAAGTAACAGGCTTTTGCTCAGGTCTGGTCTGGATGGGTCTGTGACAATGCCAGCTCAGGGGAGCCGTAAGATGCCCAAAGCAAAGATCTGCAAATATATGGGTCACTGGCACACACTTGTTGAGAGGTCAACATGCTAGACTCGGGCCATTAAAGCCTCACAATAACCTGGACACAGCTGCAATATCACACAAATAAATGCAGAATTCAACTATGAAATGCGTCCTTTGCATTCTAATGCTGTTTCAGAGGTAACCAGTATACAGTACAGCATTTATAAAGCTTATGTTATCTTTGGTAAATATCAGCACAATATGGAATGCATATTGTGGAATGAGGCTTAAATTCTTAATACTTTTCAGGCTTTTCAGTTCAATATTTAGAATCTCTCTGCATATTTATGAACTGTTGACACAATTTAGATTAAAAATGCTTCAGTAAAAAGTATTCTAAAATAATGAAAGCATGATTTTAAAACAGTTTTTCACTAAATAAGCAATCAATAATTACATTTACCTATATAACAATATGCATCGACATAGAAATTTAGGTTACGCTTTATTTTAAGGTGTCCTTGTTACAGTGTAATTATACATTTATGTACTGTGTAATATTAATTAACCACATGTACTTACTATATGGTTAGGGTTAGGATTAAGGTTTGGCTTAGTGTTACTTGCATGTAATTATGCATAATTTATTGTTATTATAATAGTAAGTACATGTAACATGTGTAACAAGGGCATCTTACAATAAAATGTTACCAAAATGTATATTAATAAATGTCCATATTTACCTAAATATGTGCCACCATTGAAATGTTTGGGGTAAGTAAGACTTTTTAAAAACAAATTCATACTCTAATTCATCAAGGATGTATTAAATTGATCAAAAGACTATTTCATTTTTTTTTTTTCTTTTAGGACTGCCACAGAAATATTAAGCAGCATAAGTGTTTTCAACAATGATAATAATAAGAAATGTTTCTTGAGCACCAAATCAGCATATCAGAATGATTTCTTAAGGATTGTGTGACACTAAAGACTGGAATAATGACTGCTGAAAATTCATATATATGTCTGATATATTTTTTGAATGATGACGCAAATGAATCACCTAATCAGAGTTTTGAATCAATTCAATGAATCAGACAGTTTGAACTGGATCACAGAACTGAATTAAACAAACAAACAGATATCATTATCTTGATGTTCACAATGTTGCTTAATTTTATATTGTTAAAATGTCACCTCATCCTACCACGCATCCAAACCATGCTGTTTTCACGTTAAAGAACTACAGAGGGGCTGCTATGAGACTGTGTCGCGAGGCTTCTTAGCAATCAGAGCAGAACGCCAAGCTTGGCTTCTTCCCTGCAAAGCATTTGAGTCGTACACTGTGGCCTAAACAGATCACCAGTGCCCTATATTGTCTCACAATGCACAGTCCTCTCATAAAGTCACAAGTGTGTTCCCTCTCTTTGAATTCTCTGTCCTCGGGGAAGTGTGTGACTTTCGAAACAAGCCACAATCCATAGCACAGTCAGTAATAAAAGCCAAGCCAGCCTGAGGAGAGCAGATCAACATGGCAGATTGACAATGAGAGACCATTAAAGAGCAGGACCAGGAGAGGGTTTCACTCAGCCATTATTCCTCCTCTCTGGACAGGAAAATGTGTCGATAACTGTTAGACCCTCCACATGTTGGCCTGTCACTCACCAGGCTGCCTCTGTTCACGCGGGCACGCAGGGGCCCGTCACCTGCCTCGTACTCGCTCTCCCCGACCCAGCTGCCTGCCTGAAGGCTACAACTCACCCCTGGAAGAAAGACTGAGAGTAAGAGAACGAGACATAGCAGACTTACTAGCTATACATCAGCATTTAAAACCTGTAAAGCCTAACATATGAATATATGTGTGTGTGTGTGTGTGTGTGTGTGTGTGTGTTTTTTGTTTATCATATTTGACACATCAGGCTTTTATGGTCCATATAGTTTGACATACTGAGAATATAGAGCTCACACTTGAAGATGGAAAAAAAACACCTCCATTTTATTTAGAGGCTCAAACGGAGCACAAATATGCAATTTGGTGCAGTTGTTGTTACTTGTGTCAATATAAATATCAGTTGTCACTCTATATTCCCCAATAATATGTCTTAGTAAGATGCTATTTAAATGCTTTTTTATATGATCAAATTTCTGTAGTTGTTATTGTGGGGGCAAAAACATATAATGGAATGTAATATAATCATGACTGAGAGATGTACGAATGCTCCTTAAAAGTCTGCATTATATTTAATACATATATTTTAACAATTTTTATATTAAAAAAAGATGGATAACCAAGTAAATCTAAGTTACTTCAATCCATTAAATGTTCATCTTGAAAAATTTCTAACAATATAAAAGGAATTGCGTTTACTTCATAAAAATTATTAAAGATTTATAGCAAAAAGACACGAGAACCACGACCTGAAGGTGGACATTTTAAGAATTATATTACCTTTACCTTTTTATTATAAGACCTTTTGCTCATTAAAAACTATGAACTATATGATCTATAAGATCTATAAACCAGGTTTTTCAGCACTGTTTTGATCATGTTGACAATTTAGAGGTCTTTGAAATTCATGTATCAAATATAAAGTGGGCTTTACAGGGATAGAGCAAAAATGAACATTCTGCCATTATTTACTCACCCTCATTCATGTGGAATATAAAAGAAAATAATTTGAAGAATATTTCCACTCAGAGATATTGTATGGCTAGATAAGACTCAAAGTATAGTGGCTAATCTATTTATTCAAGCGATTAGTCAACAGAAGAGACAGACAGCTGCACGTGAGTGTCCTGCGTAATATTTGTTTATAGATCTGCTGTTGGAATTATTACTTGCTGCTAGGAAGGAATATTTCGTTTTCTGCCTATTTCTACGTTATATTTTTGTTTGCGTTTGTATTTTTGATTGCACTTTCTGGTAATTATAATAATTGCCCTCGGCTAAGAAGGAGCGCGTGTATCCGGAATGCTGAATCCCTGACAATTTTCAAGCGACAGCTGAAAACTCGTCTCTTTCGAAGCTACTTGACTTCATCATAAAAAAAAAATTAATAAATAAAATAAATGTAAAAAAAAAATTCTCTCTATTTATTCCTTCTCTTTCTAGCTTGTACTTATTTGAACAATGTCTAAGAACTTGGTATTACATCCACTTCCTGTGTCTGTTTGCCTCTTTAAGAAGAATCGCTTTATGTATCCCCCAATTGTAAGTCGCTTTGGATAAAAGCGTCTGCTAAATGACTAAATGTAAATGTAAATGTATTATAATTGTAGTATTATACAGTAGTATTACCAAGTAGAGCTGCTACTTTTTGTGCCAGAAAAAAAAAAACCAGCATACAGGTTTGGAACAAAAAAACGGCATGAAAATAATGACAATTTTAATTTTTCGGGTGAACTATTCTTTTAAGTGTAAAAGAAATCTGCAGTTTCAAGGCAAATCAGTACAACAGCAGTGATGCAACGCACACTTAAATTCTGCAAGTCTTATGCTGTATTTTACAACTTTCACTAGGGAAAAATAACAGAGCAGGACAAGATTTTCAGGGCACGAAGATGCACAGCTAGAGGGGATCGTGGATCTCTCTCAACAAGGGTGAAAACAATCTTTTTGTTCATTTCTGTCAGGTAAAATTCTTCACAAAAGGTCTTCAGCGCAATATACTACAAGTGATCTCAAGCCTGTCTAAAAAACAGCTGCTGCTTCACACACATAAAAAAAACAAATCCTCCATCACAAACCTTCTTCGCCCGCTCAACTTGTTTACAACTATTTGATAGCGTTCTGCTCGGTTTGCCCTAGTTGTACGTCTGGCTGAAATGGCCCTTTCTTGACTGAAGAGCTCTGGAAGAGCAGGCAGCTATTGCCTGCTGTTCCAACGAGAATGATGACAGAAAAAGGACAAGGGGAATAAATGGGCACCTTGTAGAGTGTCTAAAAATACATATGAAGCAAGTTTAAGAGGAGAGTAAAGACGCTACCTCAATCTCTCATTGCTTCTTCTCCAACTGACAGGCTGTCTTATGTGCTTTTATACTGAGCAGCTTGACATTTGCTTTTATTTTAATACTATTTCCAAATGTACTTGTAAAGAAAGATAAACTGTATATATATATAAATGACTAAATAAAATGTATTTTCATGTAAATTTGGAACGGACGAAAAATGTATTAAAAGTGGCACTAAAATGCACAAAAGATTTCATTTTCTAACAAATACTGTTCTAACGTTCTATTCACAAAAGAAACATTACTCTTTTTACTGTTTTAAATCCAATAAAATGCAGCTTGGTGAATATAAGGAAATTTTGGGGGGCAAAAAAAAGCTTTGAGACCCCAAACTTTTAAACCCATACATATAAAATTAAACATACAAATATAAAGAAATTAATTAAATAATTTTATATATATATACACACACATGCAATATTTTGTTTATTATTACACAATAATTAGTTTAAGATCAAACTATAATTAATTTTGTTGGCCAACATTTTTTTTTTTTTTAATTGCTACCAGAGTTTATAACATAATTACATAAAATAAGCATGAGCTTTACTTTGCTTTTCAACCATTATCTTGACTTATTTTACTCCTAAAGAAGGCTTTAACCCCTCTGATGGACGATGTAGGGGGGGTCAGATAGAAAGAAGACTAGCCTACACATAATATGGAGATTTACTTGTAAATATTAATATGCATTTCTATAGTCGTAACTGATTTTAAAATATGATTTTGGCAGCTCCTGAAATGGGTCGTATTGACAGTGCCTGAGCAGTTGAAGAATACGCTACAGCGCTCATTCAAAGACGTGCATTTATTGCACGGAGCAAGAACACCTAAAATGCACGTGTAAATTCAGTCGAGTGATAAAGTTTACCCTCTTCAACTTAATGCTGCTGAACTGAATTTATGGAGCAAAACTATTTGCTAAAATAACCATAACGTTAACAGCACCGCTGAAATACAAGCGCGCGGTTCTGTCAGTCAGATGCGCGTGAAAGCTGCATACGTTATAACAAACACTGTGCTTTCTTTCAGAATCATCATTGGCTGGTAGAAAGACAAAAATAGGTTACATAAAAGTTTTTACCTAAAAATGAAGATAAGGTAAAGGTGTGAATAGTTAAATTTTAAACACATTGTCAGTAATTTCACCAATGAAAATAAAGCCCTAGGAGAACTGTTGTGCATCTCAGATCAACACACAGCGGTGTTTCATTAATGAATCCACGTTTTTAAATGAATCGAGTGAATCAATGATTCAGTGAACCATTCATAAAGGCAGTCACTTGCTTCGTTTCTGAATGAATCAGCCATTTGAACTAATCGATTGAATGAATGATTGAATGACTCACTTAAGACAGGGATTTGCCGCCACCTACTGGTGCATTTAATTTTATATTCAGAGTATCGTTTCATAACTTAATTTCATAATTTAATTTCATATTTCACTATTTATTTGTGTTTTTTTATGTTGAATTAAAATATTTCTTCCTAAAGCTACTTATATTTCAGCTACCTTTTTGTAATGTCTATTCGGTGTTTTTTTCTAAATTAACACAATGATAACTATTATCTTTAATAATAACTTTATCTTTAATCGGCACATGATATACATGTTAATCTAATTAATTTGAGATTCATTTGATTAATTAATCGGCACATTATGTAATTATATATTTTTTTAAATAATCACTTGACAGTGATTATTGTCCCCCCCTCCCCCCCGATGGTCACTGCGTAATTCGCACCCTGATTAGCAGTACTAGTATTCCTGCATTCAGAGTGTCACTGTGTAGTGCTATCTTTATATCCAGCCCAGCCCATGGTAACAGAACACCGACACCACCTATAGGAGCGCGTTCAGACACACGCACAATCCTCCACAGTAATCATGAGCTGTAATTGCACTTCCTCTGCCTCTTTAATTACAGTGTTCATTTCCCGGGACCCCGTGAGAGCGGTGGCGTGAGGATACTGCATCCCGGGGTTAATCCGGCTCTCTCTCTGGACGATAGGGCCAGGTTGTTAGCTGAGCAGCAAAGAGCCATTAGCATATTAGCTAATTAGATTCACGATGATGGGAGCGGACAACGAAGCTCAGCGTGAGTGTGTGTGGTGGGTAGCTGTGGATCGGTTGCGTTGGCAGCTCACACACTCACGGGCACTGAACCGTGATGCACTGAGCCATGGAGACCCATACAGAAGAACAGAAATCTGAGGCACAGCATCAACAGCTCATAAAGTGTGGCACAGATCGAGTGCTAAAGTGAACCATGTATACCTACTCACTCACTCACTCTTCCATCTGAGACATTATTTTATTGCTGCACCATTTGGCCCAAAATCATGTTGCGATTAATCTGAAAAAACACAACTGTGATTTGAACAGTGATATAATTATAAAAAGTTGTACAATATATGACTGCTGCTAAAGCTAAAAGAACAAAAGGCGTGCTATAATAATTTAAGGCAGATGTAAAAACACACTTAAAAGTGGTTTTTGGGAATGAGGTCATTTTTTTACACTCATTTTGATACACAGTCAAGTTAAAAAATATTGTATTATTATTAAATGTATTTATTACATGAAAATACTGTACTACAAAACAGACCAAATAAGCTTATTTCTGGAATTTATTACAATATTTTTATTATTGTTATTCTAAATATTATTATTCTTATCACTGTTACATTAAATAATATTGATTAATATTTATAATTATTATATTAATAATCATATCATAATAACATTAATTTTACATTATAAAATAAACAAACACAACATTAAAATATTATTTAATTAATAATAATAATAATAATAATAATAATAATAATAATAATGTTATTAGATGTGCATGATAACTAGAGGTGGTTAAAAATGCTTTGAATTACCTGAATATGACATTGTAGTGATTATGGAGCACCAGAAACACACTACTAATTTAAATGAAGATGCATCCAGAATCTTGATTTAATGTTACATGCAATTAAACATTAGAAATTGTTACATTATCCAGAAAAATACATTATGCAGAAATATCCAGCATGTAACATTGCTACTGCAAGACTTTTTGAAGAACCCTTTTTTTTTTTTTTACTGATAAATGATGTAGTAAAACTGCCCTCAAAAGGTGTTGTCTGCCGTGGGCTGGATATTAAAGATGGATAACAAATATGTTAACAATAACCAATATCAAAATAGATAGCTTGGAGAACAAACACCAGAACAGCAATGATTCCTTCAGGCAGCATTCCTGCACTTCTGATGTTGCTCCTGCACTGATAGAAATGAACTCAGCACAGAAGGCAGACTCAAAAGAGCTAACAATTTCTTGAATTAGGGCTAAATGAATGGGCAGCACAGTCGGAGCCTACTGATTTTCACTATGGAACCGAAGCTGTGAAAAATCGTACATATGGAAATACGCAGCACTAAATAACTCACAGAACAAGGACCACATGCCAAGTTCATAGCTGCATCAAATGGAATAGAAAAAATAATTACCGTTTTCAAATATATGAAAACCCACAGAGTCAAACAATAGTATTAATATTTTCCATAGGCTTACAGGTATTTTATATTGGTTTGCTCAACAGAAATAGCCATTGCTCAAGAACAACACAGAGTAAATACTGCATACCTGTACGCATGTTTGCAAATCTGGATGCAGTAACTGTTTCTTTGGAGACTATATTTCTATCATCCAGAAACCTCAGCATTCAAAACAGACATTCAGATTGTGCTAATATTCATGTAAACTTCTCTAAGCATAAACGTATGCAACAATTTAAAGCTTTGACTCATTGCTTACAGCTGAAAGTGAGGATCCAGCAGCCGTTGAGGACGCCCTGCAGTGTGGTCAGGGAAGAGGGCATGATGGGAGCATCTGGTACAACCACATGGGTGACTGGACAGACATTTAATCAAAGGGGGAAGCAGTTAATTACAATAAATAAACAAATAAATGAATAGTGATATAGTCATTTATTCATTTCTATTGAGAAATTGTTATATTTTCAGTTTTCATTTTAATAATTTTGTTGTGCTTTTATCATTTTTGGATATTTTATATTATACTGATGTTTTATGTTCCACTTTATTTCATTTACTGACAACCAATTGTATTAGTTTTAGTTAACTATAACACCGCTAACAATGAATGTCAGAAAAACAAAGACGCAATATATAGAGGCTCCTAATACAGAAGTAGTATGCCACACTTCACCAATCCCTTGAGATTATTTTAAATCTAGACAAAGAAAAAATCCAAAAGCTCTTCACTTTGTTGTGTGACAAACACACAGCCTACATTCTTCGACAAAATTGCATTTTACCCTTGTTCAGCTATGTGCAGCGTATGAGAAACTGCTTCAATTACTTTAATTCTACTCTGTTGCAACTTTGATTGCTTAGAAGATGAGACAGTGCTCATTGTTTGTCTGTTGGTGTGATTTCTGGAGGAGTCGAAAGACTCTGCGAGAGCTACATTTGTCACTGAAAGTGCTGGTTTCATAATGTATGATTTCATAATATCCCTCTTATGCTTCAGCTGGATGACTTATAATGCTCTTCTATGTGATGGAAGAAAGGCAAAGAAAGAAGAGACACTTCATTTCACTGCTCTGAAAAGGTCTCATTGTTTTCTTGAGCTGTTTTGAGCCAACCACGTAGTGTTGAAATAATCTTATCCTCAGCAGACTAAAAAAAAAAACCTTTTAGTTGTTATATGCCACATATTTCATAACAATATGAATTATATGAGTATGTGTACGAAAATTGGCAAGTCAAAAAAATCTGGAGAAAAAAAAAAAAAAATCACATCAACTTTCCTACACCTTTTCTAATATAAATACTCATACGCTTGAGCACATAAATAAGCTTATCCTGCCACCAGATTCAATTGATTGGTCCATTGTTTCAAAACCAATATTAGACTGCACCGTATGTCAAAAGTTAGAATAATAATATACTGTATTTCTGACTTACCACATTGTATTAAAAGCATGGCACATTGTCCATTTTACAACTCCTTTGAATGTGTTTTTTTCCAAACAGATTCAAAACTATCCGTTTTATTATTTATTTTTACTGTATTTTGTTTGCAACTTTTTTAGGAAAAATATGAAGCTGTTTTTGCACTGACTTCATTTGTTATGAATAATAATACCTTTTGATTTGCCTCCAAGTCAAGTTTGGGGTCAGTAAGATTTTTTCAAAAGAAATTCATACTCTTATTCAGTAAGGATGCATGATGAATTCATCCATGATGGGACACTGAATGTGACACTGAATACTGGGGTAATGATGCTGAAAATTCAGCTTTGCCATCACACTATTATAAGACATCTTACAGTAAATTAAAATAAGAAACATTTATTTAAATTGTAATGATATTCCACAATAACTACAGCCATTGTGAGAATAAAAGTGTTTCCAAATATATTTAAAAAAAAAAAGAATCTTACTGACCCCAAACATTTGAACAGTAATTCATACCTTAATACTATGATACACCACCCACTCATTTCTTTACACAAGAAATCAAAGGAGATGTACCTGCTCTAGAAAAGGACTGCACTTGTTTCCCTCCAAGGAGTTGAGCTGCTTTGGTGAGCTGCTTCTGCTGAGTCTGCGTCAGCTGACTGCCAATCACAACCAGTGGACCCGTCTCTCGCACACAGCCTGCAGCCTGCAAGAACACAAATAAACTGTACCGCACACTTCATTTGCATTTATGTTCTTGACAGATGATGTCTCAAAGCGACTTACAAGATGATGTACAAAATACCAGCAATTTTTATCTGTTTGTTTTGAGTGCTTTTGTTTGTCTGTGAGGCGGGTCCAGTCATGTACCTTACTGAGGCTGGTGGTGGGGCTCAGGGTGGTTGTTACAGGATGTGGTGCCTCTGGGGCCATTCTTAGGACCTCTTGCATTTCTGGAGTCAGCGCATAATCTACCGGCTGCAGGCCAAACATATTCCTGAAATCACAGTTATATGTATAGTTTATGCAAAATGCTCTTTATTGAAAACAAAAACATTTTCAAGGACAAATTTGACAAACTGTGTATCATCTAGATGTGTTCTGTTAAGCCTGCTAATGCCTCACTCAATGAAAAGTTCCATCCAACTGGGAATAAATAAACCTCACAGAAAGGCGCACTTTGTGGATTTGTCTTGTGGCCTTTATTTTTGCATGGCTATGAAGTTTAAAAGAATGTAAGATGTCCCTTTTGTCATTTTATGGTTCAAAGGCATGCTCACAAGTCTTGTCTCAAACAATCATAGAGAATGGGAGTTTTGTGGCAGAGGGAAACAAAAGATATAAATCAGAATGTAATATTGTGTAATTGGTTAAAAAAGCCAGAGATATTACAGCTTCTTTTGATGGAATGTTCTTCTCAGGGAACTTTATATTATTTATTGTATTATTATTATATATATTTATAATAGAAAGTTTTTATTTATAATGTAAGCAAACAAAATCTTTATATTTGCCTTAATGAGTATTTTGTTGTGCATCTCCTAAGTATTTAATATGAGAATATTTCCCTGCACACTGCTGTAGATGACAAAATTCCTTATATTTGTTTAATATAATACATTCATATTTCTGTGGAAATCAATAAGATTTTGCCAGCTACAGCAGTAACACAGGATTTTTCTCCTCCTTTCTGTATAGTATAGTATATCTGTGTCCTACTTTTTGCAACCATAAAGGTATCTCAGTAAAAATTAAAATGCAAATTTAAAAAGAAATTGAAATAAAATGAATACTTTGAGCAAGGATGCCTTTCCACTGATCAAATTGACATTAAAGACATTTAAAATGTTACAACATTTTTATATTTCAAATAAGTACTGTTCTTTTGAATGTTCCATTCATATAAGAATCCTGAAAAAAAAATCAGTTGCCATAAAAATTAAGCAGCACAACTGCTTTCAACATTAGTAATAATAATAAATGTTGCTTGAGTGCCAAATCAGCATATTAGAATGATTTCTGAACTCAAAGTAAGGCAAGGCTATAATGCATTTCATGCACAATGGTAATTCAAAGTGTTTAACATAAAACAGAATTAAAATAATCATAAGATAAATCACAACAGATGCATTAGAAATAAAAATAAAAGTGTAACATTAAAAACATTAAAAATATTGAAAACAAATAAAAAACAGTGCAATCAATCGTATATAGTGCTGACAGACAAGACAAAGCAGGTTACTTTTGGTATGAAACAAAGTCTCAGCTTTCAAATTTTCTATTTTTTTTTTTTTAATTTGAACAATATATACCGTTTTGTGGCTCTTTAATGTGTCATTACAGATTGTAGTGCCTCAGTTCAATCGGCAGATGAACTGATCACCTCTTCCTCTTAAATAGTTATCGCACGAAATAAACATGAATGAACATAAGAAGGTATCTTGTTTCAACTGCGGAAAGATGTCAATACACACCATTTTTCAAGTTTACATCCACCGACGTTGATCTACTCTCCTGTCTGGTTTGTTTGTCGAACAAAATGGCAGATTTAGCGTTATGATTGGTCAGATCGCCTGTCAATCAAACTCCTGGCCAAGGGTCAATTGCATGTCCAAATTGGGCGATTAAACTTGCAATCTGAAATAGTCAGATTTGCAAGATATGAACTCACAATTCTGGCAATTGCAAGTTTATATCCCGCAATTCTGCACTTATTTTCTTGCAGTCAAAAAGTCAGCTCACAATTCTGATATTTCCTTACAATACGGAGTTTCTCTCACAACTCTGACTTTATAACTCACAATTGCATTTTATAAAGTTAAAACTGTGAGACAAACTCACAATTCTGGGGGGAAAAGTCGGAATTGTGACTTTGTTTATTTCATGCAGTTCTGACTTTTTAACTTAAAATTGTGAGTTTATATCACACAATTTCAAGGAAAAAGTCAGAATTGGAAGATGTAAACTTGAAAAAAAAAAAAGTCAGAATAGTGAGATAAGTCATAATTACCTTTTATTATTTTTTTATTCAGTGGCGGAAACAAGCTTCCATACATTTGGGAAAAAGGACCTAATAATATTCAAGCATTTGCAGATTATGGCCTCGTTTACACAGTGAAACTCACTTAGTATGCAAAATTATCAGATAAGCAAGAGGTTAAGGCCTAGGACAAATCCGAAGAGAATCTGTTTGGCAAGCAGTATGTGACGGCCCCTCGTCGGATCATTCGTCCCTGTTGGCTGGTAGGGAGAAGAGAGGTGGAAATGAAATAAAGTGGAGAGGGATGTATGTTGAGATTAAGCTTCAGCACAGATAACACCTGGGGGGCAATTAAGAGGTCCACTGGTCCATAAAATTTCATTTGGATTCATGAGCCACCCCCAACCCCCAAACAAGCCCACAGTCTCTTCACACTCCCATAGGATGTAAATTATTTTTGTTTTGGTGCGGCGCACAGCTTCTAATCTCAAAAAGTGAAAAATCCAATAATGCCAAAGTGTCTCATACGCAGATGCCACATACATGTGCGTGTGTGTTACCCATACTGATAAAGGGGAGGTGTGCATTCATTACCTCCAGCAAAATAAGACACTCCATGCGGTTAAAGAGTGATATTAGTAAGCTAAAACCTCTCAGCAACTGCATCCATCTCGCAGTTGACAAATCAGACACAGATGCCAGCGGTAAAAGGGGTCCAATGAATCACAGATCGATGGAGATGTGAAAATTAGTCCTCGGAGGTGCTCCAGCTGTTCCTGTCCACATAACCGAAGCAATCAAAAATGGTGGCGCTAAGCACTAGAGCTAACCAGATCTCATCGATTGGAAGAAAGCAGTGTGCTTCTTTGCTCGAATCACATCAACAAAACAAATCGAGCTTATGCAGGACGAATCCATCTAAATTTGCCTACTAGTACACAGCTGTGCTGTTCCGAAGCTCAGTAAGCTGCCTTACTAGGTGTCATTGCAACTTAATTATGCTGCCTCCTAAGACACAGAAGGCAATGTCAGAATGGAAAGCAACAAGCTGAAAAAATGCAAGATTAGTGGTTGCCAATATGGGTTTTTCAATGGTTGTTGCAGATACTGACAATCAGCCAAGCAGACATTACTGTTTCAAAATGGCCAAATACTGGCCTGGTCTATATATAAGGCAAATACACTACCAATGAAAACTTTGGGGTCAGTAAGATTTTTTTAAAGTACATTTATTCAACAAGGATGCATTCAATTTATCAAAAATGACAGTAAAGATTTCTGTTTCTAATAAACGTCGTTCTTTTGAAAAAAAAGTACCATGGTTTTCACAAAAATATTAAGCAGAACAAATGCTTTACAAAATAATAATAACAAGAAGAAACATTTCTTGAGCACCAAATCAGCATATGAGGATGATTTCTGAAGGGCCATGTGACACTGAAGACTGGAGTAACGATGCTAAAAATTCAGCTTTGCCATCACAAGAATATATAGTTTTTCATAATATATTAAAATAGAAAGCAGTTATTTTTAATTGTAATAATTTTTCACAATATTACTGTTTTTACTTTATTTTTGCTTAAATTAATGAAACCTTGGTGAGCATAAGAAACTTGTTACCGACAAGAAAACATCTTACCGACCTCAAACTTTTGAACACTAGTAAATCAATATTTATTTTAAGAGCATAAGAGACTTATTTCAAAAACAACAATATTCATTCATTCATTTTAACCTTTGGAACCATTTAATATTAAAGTAATATATTAAACTGTAATAGTATTTTACAATATTAATGTGTTACTGTATTTTTTGATCAATTAATGTAAGTTCTTTCAAAATCTTTTAAAAAATATTAAAAATATATTTATTTTTTTACATTTGGAACAATTCAGTATCAAGAAAGGAATAAATTATATTAAATAGTAATAATAATTCACAATACTACTGCTTTTTACTATATTTTTGATCAAATTAAATGCAGCCTTGAGTACAAGAGACTAAAAACATTTTACCGTCCCAACCTTTTACATGCTAGTGAATAAACATTTAATTAAAAAAATATTAAATATATAATATTTTATATTTTATGTTTAAAAAGATTGACTAGTTTACCTAATATTTGAGTGCTATGTATTTTTATGATTTAAGCTTACCAACATGTTACACATCACCAAACTCTACTGAAATCGAGTCGAGTCGAGTTTTGTGTGAAGTGCTGTTTGTGATGTGTATCTGTCCATGTAGAGCATTCCAAATCAGTCACTTATGAGGTTCTGTGACAGTTAGGATGCTGCTTATGTAGCTCACTAGAGCTACCGGTTCTGTCTCGCTTGTAGTTGCTACCCTCACGGTCCCTCAAGAAGCAGCTTTTCAGATCTGAAAAGCATTAAAGATTACTGCTGGTACAGCAGGGATGTGCCAGTCAATTCATACAACACATTACAGCGAAGGCTCTGCCCACAGCAGTTCCCCCCATAGCCCCACTGCTCCGATTCCAGACCGCAAGGAGTGAAAGTGATTGATTATGTCTGACAGGAGTGGATTGCTTCTGTGCAGTGCTTCTATGACAGAGTCGATGCTTCACTTCACCATTGACTAACGAAGCATAAATCTGCTGATGCTTTATGCGCTTCCAATGTACAGCACAGCACTAGTCAATGTACAAAGGGCAGACAGACAAAAAGAGACGCAGAGACGCATGCAGAGAACTCTCGGGATGAGCATTCGCACATCTGGGTTCACTGCCAATCTTGGGGAAATAGAGTTCATTAAAGGTGCCATAGAATGCATTGATACAATATTTTTAATTGTTCTCTGATATTTACGTAGAAGGTATGTGGCTTAGGTAAGGGCAAAAAATCTCCAGAAACGGTTTTACATGTCCATTTACAACCCTAGGATTTGTCCCTAGAATGAAATGGTCTGTTTTTACCTTATTTGGAAGGGTCACGAATAATAATGTTGAGCTCTGCTCTGACTGGCTGTTTCACAGTGCGGCTCAATGTTGAGCTCTGCTCTGATTGGCTGTTTCACAGTGCGGCTCATTTCAGTAGCTCACACAGCAGGAAGGAAACAGGGAAAATATATATTTCAATACTGTCTCTCGCAGTTATATTGTTGGGTAATTATACCGTATATAAAATGCGGGCATCAGGGAGCCGCTATTAATATGCGGGGCATTGAAACTGCCTTCGAATGCAGGATCGCTTTTTACTTTCACTTTCGAGATTTGCGATCGCACGCGCTGTGTAAACTACAGCGGCAGTACTTACCACACATTTTACAAGATCAGATGCTCGTCAGTGGTGCTCAGGATCTGTAAATCATTCGCCATCATCCTCAGTCATCTCTCCTTACTCTATTTATGTGGTAAGTGAAATCTTATGTACTGTAATGTAACAGGCTACCGCTAGCAAGCAGCTAACCATGTCCCTTTAGTGGCTCGCGTTATTTTATTAGAACACGTGTTATTTGTTTTCCGTGCCTTTCT